TTATGTGCTGATGAGGTGACATTTGCCCACCCTTTATCTGCACACAAACATACAGGCTTAACAGAAATGGCCCCTGCTCCAATTTATAACTAGTTAGAGTAAGGTACAAGTGAAAAGCCTCTGCATAGAACAAACAAAACAAACTATTTCCCAGCACTTACCAACCTGCCCGCAAAAAACTAAAACAGATAACAATCTAACAATTTGCTCAAAAACAGATTTTAGTCATACATTTGCAAATATACTGTATGTACATTTGTCAGAAACTGAATCTACAGCATGAGCTTGGTTCAATATTTTGTCAAATGCTTGCTCTAGAAAAAATGCTTACTTTACAGTGACACTTAAAACTGAATTACCAATTACGTTTGGTTGGCCTAAAGCATATAAATTAAAGAAAAAAAATTAAAGCCCATATTTTGCCTTCCCTGGTTCCTCCTTTCTCTCATCAGCATGCTAATGAAATATTTGAATGACTTTTCCATATTCTTTTACGTACCTTATTTTAGACCCAGTGTTGTCATCACTAGGTCTCTGTGCTTTTCTGTGCAATGCAGCTAAATCATGGCTGGTGAGAGGGGTGGCAGGGTGCTTCTTAAAAACATCACAGCACCCTGCTTCAGTACTCCCCACATGTGGCGATGAGCCCCCACAATTTATAGCTGAAAGCCAATGAATTAAAGGAGGCATGCCAGGGACATTAAGGCAGAGAAGGAAAGGGCAGACACGATACTGCATATCCGCTAGCCAGGATTGAGACTGCCTTAATCTTGCTACACGTGCACACTATGATGAGCTTAGTGTGCAGTGAAACAAGAAGAAGCAATTTCAATACAGGAAAGAAGCCTGTGCAGTTGTGCAAGACTGACATTCAGCTTTAAGATATTGTAACTTACCAGTCCTTAAAGGGTAAATTCACCTTTTCACGAAAAAAGGAAAAGATGAACTAACTCTAAATATTCTGGCCACCCCCGCTGCACATAGCGACAGTGATGCACCACTCTCCCTATGTAGCAGTCCAATACAACTGCAATACAAAGCCCCGTAGTGAGTATTTATCATAATGTTCACAATGGCAAGCATTCATTGATCAGCATGACTATGTGACTGTGCTGACCAATGAGAATTGCTTCTTTCTTCTAGGATACTTAACTAGAATAAGCCTCAGATGCGCTTCTCATTGGTCAGCATGGAGAACTTCCCCTCTAAATGCATTCTCCATTGTATGGGGGCAGCCATGGTTGTCACACAGACTGGACTGTCTTTGTTCTTATTCTTTACATGGTGGGTTGATGGGACTAGTAGTTTACACAATAAAGATATGGTACTCTGTGCTTTCTTTTAAGCTCACAGAAAGTGACAAGGAAACCGTTGCTGTCAAGATGAACACGTATTTTCCCTACTTGCTGAAATGTTTGCATAGAAATTAAAACAAATTTAGCCACCGTAACTAGGAGTAATGAGCTGCAATATATTGTATTTTTATTTTTGAGATTAGATACACTTTAAGGCAACTGCCACATGCAGTGATTGACCATTTTATAGTAGGTACCTGCCAAAGAGGCTATACCAATATCATTCGGGGAAGTGGGCAGTCACCCATGAAAGTTTTTTTTTTTTTTTTTATAGCAATGGTTTCATTTAAATTATTTTTTGTGCGTTTTTCAAGGCATCAGAAAATCGGTTTAACAATTTGTCTGCCTGCCACTTTGTAAAACTGACATTTTGACAATGCATATCTTTGTTCTGTAAACTTCAGATTATGTCAGAGTGATGGATTAAATCTGTTTCTAACGCTTACAGCCTCATATGTACAAGCCACATGAATATGTGATATTTCCAGATCAGCTCTCACAGGACAAGGAGGACACAGCTGTCTTAACCTGCAGTGTTCAAAAAAAAATGTTCAACTCTGCTGTTTTCTTGGCAGTGACTATTGTAAAAGAGCTTGGTTCATTCATAAATACATTTGACCTTGAATTGAAAATTTCTAATATTGGAGAGCAATAGAAACATCAAAAATAGTTTCAGATTGAAGTCGTACTTAAGGGGTAACTCCACAAAGAAAATTAACCACTTCCATACAGGGCACTTTTACCCCCTTCCTGCCCAGGCCATTTTTCAGCGCTCTCACACTTTGAATAACAATTGCGTGGTCATACAACACTGTACCCAAACTAAAATTTTATCATTTTCTTCACACAACTAGAGCTTTCTTTTCGTGGTATTTAATCATCACTGGGGTTTTTATTTGTTGCTAAATTAACAAAAAAAAGTCTGAACATTTTTGAAAAAAAAAACACGTTTTCTTTGTTTCTGTTATAAAAGTTTGTAAATAAATAATTGTTCTTAATAAATTTAGGCCAAGATGTATTCTGCTACATGTCTTTGGTGAAAATAACCCAAATTAGGATGTAATATTTATTTTGTAGGGAAGTTATATAGCTTACAAACTGTGGTATATATCTCAAAATTGATCAATCCAAGAATGTCAACAGTACAGATATCCCCCAAATGACCACTTTTTGCAAAGTAGACAGTCCGACATATTTCATAACAGGCATGGCGAGTTTTTTGAAGTTTTTTTTTTTTATTTTTTCATTTTCAGAAAAATGACAAAAAAAATTACAATATTTTCACTTTTATTTTTACATACTGTCACCAGTGCAGTACAGCGTCATCACATAACTGGCATGGCGGTGATCAGGGACACTGGTGACAGTACGAAAAAAAACATTTATAATTTTTTGTTTTCATTTTTTACAAATTTTTTTTTCGCTTTTTTTAAGATTTTTTTTTTCATATTTCACTGTGACCGAAGTAGTATAATGTTACCATAGTAACATTGTACTACTTTGGGGAAGTGATCAGTATGTTTTTTTTTTTTTTTTTTTTTTTTCTTCTTCACAATTTGCTTATAGCAAAGAATCACTTTGCTATAAGCAAGCATTTACCTGAATGACATCGATTCATTCAGGGTTTTTTTTTTTTGTGCTTAGCTGTGATTTGGCCATGGCTAATCACATGACACAGCTGGGCTGTGATTGGCCCAGCTTGTGCATGTGATCCCTGGGACCATTCACAGCTAGACACACTTGTATACAATGGATGGCATGAAAGGAAGCCATCCCTTGTATACAACTGTCATGTGACCTGCTGTGATTGGTCACAACAGGTCACATGGTACTATCAACGGGGCCAGTACACAGATCTGTCATCGACCGTGTCCGAGGTACACGGCTGGTGACAGATCGCACTGCAGAACGGCCTTGCGGGCAGGCGCACTGTGCATGCCTGAAAGGATGCCTTATGGCGTCCACCCGGAGGGACGAGGTGTTTTGCCAGCCGCCTTTGTGCTTTTGGCCGGGCGGGAACCAGTTAATATATACAATTGCTACCCAAACCATATTGAAATTTAACATTATTAAAAATTACCTTTTTTTTTTTCAAACTGCAGCATTGTTATTTTCTGTTAAATTAAATGCAATATGGCAATTTGGATGCATTCTCTACTCAATCTGTGTACAAGATGCCCCCAGAAATGTTTCATGCTTGGGTGGAGAACTCCACACTAATGCTGGGTACACACTATCAGATTTTCTTTGTTCAACCCAGCGGGCTCCCTGAGCTATTGCGTTCTGATTCCCCCCCCCCCCCCCCCCCCCCCCCCCAGAACACACCGGTCAACGCTTGCAGCCATTGGCTATGAGCACTGATTGGATGCTGGTTTTCCAGCATACCCATTTGACAAAAGCTGTCCAGGCAGGTGTAAACACGCCGAATGCCGGCATGGCTGATTTTCGCCCGTGTGTTTCGGGGGTAGGTAGAAGTCAGATTTTCGGCATTCATTACAACAGAAATGTAATTTTGGTGAGATACTTCCTAAGGATTACTCACTTCCAAAGTAATGCAGATACTGCATCTTTTCTTATCAGAGCCATGAAAGCGTCTCAGCTGATTAAAATTAATTAGCGTCATTAGAAAGTGGAACAAACATCTTTTTCTTCAGAGCAGAAACAGGTAGGAATCTGCAACAAAGTTTAATATATTTGCATGACTGGGTGGCGGCCATCTTGGATGCTGGAAAGACTCTATTTTAATGTTTGTATATGCTGACTCATGTCCATTACCATTAGTGCAATTTTACCATATAATACATTTCGTTAGTGAGGATTTTACACTGTGGAGAAATCTTATTTACATGTTTAATGCCACGAGCTTTGGTCTCATACAACTGGTTTGGAGTGGTTAAAGCCACCTTATATAGGGATCAGCATAGGAGCACCACCAATATCTCTCTTTTGGGGATCCAGAGGAAAATTCTGTCTGCCTGCCTTTCTGGTTGCTACATAACAAAAGCTATTTGTGAGGTGCCTGGTATCAAGGTATGGTGTTCAGCTGCTATTTATTGGTACTCTATTTCCAGATTTTGGGTTTTATTTTGTAATATATTTGCATGTATATAGATCGCTCAGAAGGGATTGTTTTGGTTTGTTTTTTTTTTCTTAATGAAAGCGGAGTTACTCTTAAAGCTGTGACATGGAAGACTTGCATAAATTCATATATATTAATTTCTTGAAGTGTACCATCTGTTCCAAAACAATGTATTTATTCTAGATATGTATTCTAGATCAGGGCTTAAAATTTCAAGTCCTGAGTTACTAGCCAGGCCTTAAGAATTGCTCGCCACCAGTTGCCCCACCCAACCCCTACCCTGCTACACCCCTATTTCCCCCCTAAACACACCCTTGTAAATTATTTCATGAAATGACACTGTTAAATGTTACCCACATTACATCAGGGTCCCCAGAGTTCCCCCACATTACATCAGGGCCTCCAATCTACCCCTAAACACTCCATCATACTTAGACCATGCAGCGCATACAAGCATAAACCCCCATAATCTTTCACTCACAAAACCATAACTCTACCAAGCATATCCAGCCCAGCCCTACCTCAAATGCCCCATACTCTACCACCCAAAATTACCACACATAGACATGTACATACACACACAGAAAACATGTACACAAACACACAGAGACACATGTACACATAAAGACACATGTATACATGTACATACACAGAAATACACAGACACATGTACGTACATACATACACAGATGTACATGTACATACACAAAGCCACACGTAGACACATACATGTACATACACACACACACACATGTACATGCATACACAGACACACACAAACACACACGCACACACACAGCCCTATAAAAAGTTGCAGTACTTTGTTGTTCACTCACAGAGCTGGGTACTGCACTCTAGGGGGAGGCAGAGAGCACAGCACACACTCCTTTCTTTGCTTTCATTGAGCTCAGCTATTGAGCAGTCTGACGGCTCCCAGTGCGAGTGACAGATTCGGCTCTGAATTCTGAACCTGCTCTGCAAGATGTCCATGGGGACATGCTCACCCCACCATAATTTCCACTCGCCATTGGCGAGCAGGCAATTGGAAATTTCAAGGCCTGTTCTAAATATTCTAGATATGTAGCTTGTGTGCATCTTGATTATATGCATTTGTATACAATTCTTTCTAATCAGCCACTCAGACCGCTTTTATTGGAAAGAGCAGTGGCTGAGGAAAATTTGAATACCAAGGTTATAGAATCAAGCTGCAGCCATAACTGCGGTATACCTAGATATAAAATGATGATGCATTTTCCCAGTTAGACGGTCAGCAAGCGGTTTGTAAAGAAAGTGCTTTGGCACTATAGCAGAATTTCATCTGAATTGTTGAGTGTTAATATGCACAGGTTTACGCCAGGAAAAGCTGGCAATAACCTTTTGAAAATATAAAGTACTTTTTAAATACATATTTATCACTTTCATATTTAATATTTTTTTAGAGATGTTCCATTTTCATAATTTTTTTTTTCTTTTGTGTCTATAGTGATGTTTGTTGGCCTTCTAAAGTTGTCTTGCTGGTCAGCATAGTATGCTGCATCCTTGCTCAGAAAGCTAAAAGGAACAACGTGAAATTTAGGTTTATAGATCACAATTTGACACTGTTTATTGCAAGAACAATGAATCGTAGAACATGTTTAGTTTTACCACTAAGTAATTCTGTAAACCATGTACTTTACACATGTTAAATATGCTTTGTTGGAAATCAGATTTGCAGTTATATAGATAGAAGTGTTCCTGTATCAAGCAGCTAAGGGAAATTTTCATCTTTCTTTCTGTTGATCTGCTCTGGAGGTCTTCACTATGCTGCCTTACAATGTGCAGCTGCATATCCAGACAGCAGAAAAGAAGAAAATGTACGACCCAGTCACTTACTACCTGAGGGTCTTATTCAAATTGTCAAGAGCGGTCAAGTCAACAGAAATCAACTGCTTCAGGCACTTTAAAAATAAAAGGCCTTAGGCAAAGTCATGAAGCAAAGATCACTTTCTTCCCTTAGAAGTAATTGACTTCATTTACAAGCTGTTGGTGATCCCTGTGTGTTGCATGGCTTTACAGCTTTGTGCAGGAAGTCTTATACGTTGTCACTTAGAGCAGTTAAATCCGTAAACTGATTATACCATAAAGCTCATACTGCATATGAGAATCAATAATATCTGCAATGATTTTTCAAAGTGTATAAATGCCTAAAATGTTCATCACTGTATAGGTCACATCCACATTATTCATTGTTTGCGTCTGTATTCAAATATTTAGTGGAATAATAACGTTTCTCTGTTACCCATCAAGGCTGATATTAGGGTCATAAAGGTTATAGATATGCTAATTACGTTAAAAAAAAAGTTAACCTAAGTAGTGCTAAATGTGCCTACAAATGTGCAGGCTGAAATGGATAAGAAAAAAAGCTATTATATTAATTATACAGTACAGGACACAGTAAAGTATTCATACAACCCCTGATCATAGACATGTACCTTCAGGTGATTGGACATTGACAATCCTTTAGAGGACATGCCCCCTGGATGCCTCTCCTGTAATCCTACCCCACTCCTGTGAGTCCTCAGTTTTGTGCTAGTGTCTGAAGATAATGGACCTTTCCTTCGTTGCATAGAAAATCACTCTTAGTTTAACGAGATTCTTTTTTTTTTTTTTCTTCAGTCCATCTCACTGTCTCCTAATGCCAACATAGAAGCAGTGTAATTTGACGTAACCCCAGTAAAACATTGCGAGCCGCAACCAGATCCCATGCTGTGGGTGCAGCCTGTAATGTTGCTGTGGTCACTGGATCCTTCATGGACGCTCATGTTGGCACTTAAGACAAGGAGTTGTTAGCTGCAAGGTGCTATACAGGTCCAAGGACGTGGTCCATTGCTATGGAGCACAGTCCCTGAAGACCCCATCTGGGTTATGCCAACCATGAAAGGCAAAGTCTGGACTTTACATACAGTCCAGCATCATGGTTAGGTAAGACAAGGTCACCCTGTATCTCTAACCGTTACTGTAAAAACAGGGCTATGCTTAGAATGTATTTGTATTTGCAGTGTAATATTTTAAAGTTTGGCGCTAAGACACAACCACTCTGCTTAGTCTTAGGTGGATGATCAGGTTTCACATCATACCACTGGTCCCACACTTTACTGCCCCTTCCACCTTGAACCCTTATAAGGTTCTCAGGCATTTCCTGATTCATTACAGGATGGTCTATTCTGGGGTTATTTTGTACTCCTTATGGGTATGCTTACACTATACTCTGCACATTATTCCGTGAATGCCCCACAGAGGAATTCCCTCACTTGTAGGTATGGTGGAAACCAGTGCAAAGGAGTCAATACAAGATTGCAGGCAAACATTCGCTCTGCCGAAGGCCCACATAACAATGAACCTTAGAGTGACAATATGTCCCTGGCACTGGAGAAAAACCAAAACAATTGGCCTCTTAGCTAAAGCAGAATTCTCTGCATATATGTGTCCTATTTCCTCAGACTGATTATGGCTTTAATACTGCCATTTTAGTCAAAGGCTCAAAAACGCCACACCTCTTCTCCTACTCCTGATTCTCAGTTTTAGTCTGATCCTTATGTGCCGAACCTAGAGGTTGCAGACACAGAAGGGAATGAAGAGGATATTGAGGCAGTATTGGAAGAAGCTGCAAGAGATTTTTCTTTCCCAGACTCTCAGTATATTGAAGAAGTGACTTCATGCAACATGCTTGCTAGCGTTGAAAAGCTCATTGCTCAAAAGTCTGTAGGTAGAACGTGCAATCTATGGTGACTGGTTCACTCCTGAAAGGATTCTCACTACAACCACCCCTCTAATCCATCCTCCCCCCATCCCCAAAATTTTTGCTGAACTCTTTCCAGTGGACCACCAAAGCTCAAAAGTCTATAGGTAGAATGTGCAGTCCATGGTGATTTGTTTGCTTCTGAAAGGATTCTTACTCATATTTCACAACAAGGTTGTCTTGTGCCAAAGGCTATCTTTTCTCACAAGGCTATCCTTTTCTCCCAAAGTTGGTTCAATATTCCACCTCAATGAGGACATTTTCCAACCATCTGCTCTTTTCCTAAGTATTCAAATTAAAGCTTTCTACATTCCTTGGACATAGAACCATTAGAGTATACCTCAAAGTTACTGCTCCAGTCAAATGGATGGATTCTCTGTTTGTCCTGTCCTCTGGTCCTTTTGTAAGGGACACCCTGCTTCGAAGTCTGCCATCGAACGAATAAGAACCTTCTTGCAAGAGCTTGTATTCACAAAGGTGTCAAACTGGCGGCCCTCCAGCTGTTGCCAAACTGAAAGTCCCATGATGCATTGCAAGATTGACAGTTATGAGCATGACTCCCAATGTGAGATGCATGATGGGACTTGTAGTTTCCCAACAGTTGGAGGGCCACCAGTTTGACATCCCTGCACAAAGAAACAGCATCTGCATTTTTACACTCCCAATCTACCAGATCAATAGAAATCTCTTCCTTGCAATAGCAAGCCCAGTTGGTCGCCACTGGTCTTCTGTTCCTACTTTTTCAAAGTTTTACCAAGTGGATGTCCAACCTTCTACAGATGCAGCTTCTGGCCCCTAGGTTCTTGAGGCAGCACTCTGAAGTTGGGTCTTTTGACCCTTGTTGTTTGGGCCTGTTGCCACAGTTATGTTTGCCTTGTTGCCCATCCTCCTTCTGCATTACTTGGGGCATCCCATGGTGTATGAGTACTCTGCCTCTGTCCATATCTTGGCATATAGAACAGGACACAGGCTATCCTTCCTTCCATTCCTCGATTTACTCTGCATTGCTTGCTCAAAACTGACAGCTCAAGGTGTGGGGTAGGGTTATAGGGTAGGCATCAGGGGGCATGTCCTTTTTCCAGTGTCCAATCACATGAAGGTTAATACCCATTTTGTTTGAATAGTCCTGTACTGTACTTCAGTATATGGAATTTAAAGGTAAGTCAGAACTACTCATTTACACTTGAATCCAATGATGACTATTTCAGCAAAAACGTAACACATTGACAAAGTTAATTTTCTCAGTGCTTGGGAAGTGCCACAATGATTACAATTATCAATATATGTAACCTGTCTCTTCTACTGTAACCGGCATAATTATATGTTTGAAGTGGTATTAACCCTAATAGCAAAAGTTTATTATATCACAGCTTAGGCTTTCTTTCCTTTTTCACCTGGTGATCCTGCCAGTAAGTGTTGTTTTTCAATAGAACAAGCTCTTGTAGATGTAGATAATAAAGTGCACAGCTTTTGTCTGAAGATTTTTTTTTTATGATACAAGGTTGTACGATTTTCATTTAATTAGTACAGTTTTTTTTGTCCTTAAATTAAATACAATACAAATACAATGCATTCCTTCACTTCCAAATGTTCTGTCATACAAAAATGTTTGTAACTTTATTAGCCTCTTCACTTTCGATATAAGACTAGCATGCAAAAAAGAAAAAAAAAAAAAGGCAATCATTTTTCCAATATTCTCGTCGCATGTACGGGGCTTTAAGCACGGAACTGGGTGGCAGTAATTCTCAAGGATTCTGGATTGGATTTCACTGAGTCTTGTGGCTGGTCACAGTTGTAGTGCTCAATCAAGGATCCTATGCCAAAAGTATCATCCATGCAGTCTTTATCCACCATTAATACTCACATTGACTGCTTTTTCACATCTGCTTCCTTTGCTTTATTGAACTCTGGCTGTGTGCTTTTTAATTAGCACATTTTCTGATATACAGATGACCTCTAGAAGGGAGACATTGCACATTTGTATAAGAAATATAAGCCCCCCCCTACGGCCCTGTCATTTATTCACAGAGATCTGTAAAGGAATTAATGAACTACCATCCTATCTACCAAAGCATTTTTTTAAATCTACAAACACATGTGCATGTATTTTATTTTTTTTTTATTAAAGGTGAACATATCCTTTAAGTGAGAATACACAAGACTAAAGTGTGGTGTTAGACAAGAGCTAAAGGAGAATTGTATAATAGTTGCTGGTATCTTATTACACCAGAAGAACTTAAAAATGTAGTGCATTCTATGTCAGACAAATCCAAAGCGGTTTGTTATTGC